ACTAAGGGAGGATTCAGGGTCACCTGGTCCAGCCCTAACTATATGCTTTAGCAAAAAGGAAAGTTTTAAGCCTAATCTTAAAAGTAGAGATAGTGCTTTGGATGCTGGCTGCCTTTGGTTGTGTTGTGTCAGGATGATCGGGAGGTTCACGACCCTCAGTGTTGCACTGTGTCTCTATTCTACCAAAGCATGCTTTCACTGTTTGAGATCATGGTGAAAAATAAAAATGATCAATCAGGCTCTTCCCAGATTGGACTGCATGGTGGATCACGGGTGTGGTATCCATTTATAATTTCATGAATTTTGACCCCAACATTGCTGCAGCTCTGTCAGAGCTTCCACCTGTTTTACAGATGGCTGTTCTCATCTGGTTTCCAACATATTAACAACACTTTGAACAACAAAGCAAACTAATGTTTTCCCCTCATTGTTTGCTCAGATGTCTGAGAGTCTGTGTTTTGCATCTTTCTTACTTACTTGCTGACTGGAGGATGTAGCCTCATGAATCAGAGCGCACCTGGTTCTGATAACCACGTTAATTAATGGGAAGAAAAAAACATTTCATGTGAAATTCGATGTTGATGCTATGTTTTCACAGCACAGTGACGCCTATAAGCTGGTAGACAGTTCTTTCTTTGCACACAGTTCTGACCTTTAAATCTGGGAATACACCGGCAACACTTCTTCACATCCTCCAGGATTACGATAAGTAATGTTTGCAAATATAACAGCTTCTTTCTTGAAATTTGACGCCTTACATCAGGTGATTATAACCTCAAAACCTAATTCTCTCATCCCAACCAATCACAGCAGATGGCCCCGCCCCTCCCTGAGCCTGGTTCTGCCGGAGGTTTCTTCCTGTTAAAAGGGAGTTTTTCCTTCCCACTGTCGCCAAAGTGCTGCTCATAGGGGGTCATATGATTGTTGGGTTTTTCTCTGTATCTATGAAGCGCCTTGAGGCGACTTTTGTTGTGATTTGGCGCTATATAAATAAAATTGAATTGAATTGAATACATTGAGATGTTCGCATTAATAATCCCCACCGAGTCATCCAATGGTCCATGGACGTGAGATCTTAATGTGACTCACATATTTTAATAGAGTGACTTATTCTTGCATAATTGCACCATTTTCCCTTCAGCTTCCAGATTGTCCTTCCAGTAAGTTAAGCTTTCCATCTCTTCTTATCTCTACTTGTTTCTCACAAGTCTTGCTGATTTTCACATGAGAAACTGTTGATCTCCTGATCATTTGAGTCAGTTTATTCACATGCTGGTGAGTATTAAAGCTTGAAAAACAGTGAAACAGTCACATGCACCAGATCGGTCATCATCAGGTGAGATATGAGATATACTCATGTGTCACATTGTCAGCTGTACAGTTTACTTGTGACACTAAATGTGATTTCTATTAGACATCAAGACAAAAATTTCCCGCACAAGACAAATGGAAAAAGTGCTGCTCTCTGCAGGGGAAGCTTCCAGTGAAACTATTTGAGTATTTTGGCTGTGTTCATTGATTTTAGCCATGCTGGTATGCAGCAATGCACATATTCTGTTTTAAATTCCCACCTACTTTTCATAAAAATACAAATAAAAGTACAGCTTTAATACAAAACAACCACAGTCCTATCAACCTGTGTGGTTCATTTAATACTCTTGCATTTATTGTGAATTATGATCACTTTTAGATCACTAATGCTTCCTCCAGTGCTTCTAAAATGCTGTGTATGTGTTTCCAGGCCCGGATCTATGATGCTATCTGGTCGGCTGCTAGATGGTTTGAGCTCCTAGAGACATTTCTGAGATGGTTTCTACAGGCTTAAAAACAGCAGTCCCCCTGCTTATTCTGGTATGTAACCAAAAATCTTTTTGTGTGGGTGAAAAACAATATTGACTGGATTCACCACTGGTGACATTTCCCGGCAGCTAAGTCATTCGGAAAAGAAGTGTTACAATGTACAGACTAAACCTCTGACCCCGAGGAAACAACCTGTTTATAACGACGAGCAGCTTCTCTGACAAAGACACAGAACCGAGTGTAACATGACCAGTGTTGGGAAGGTTACTTTTAAAATGTATTCCATTACAGATTACAGATTACATGCCCCAAAATGTATTCTGTAACGTATTCCATTACGTTACTCAATGAGAGTAACGTATTCTGAATACTTTGGATTACTTAATATATTATCATGCTGTTTACAACTACAT